TGTCATTTTTGTCCATTCATTTATTACTGTATCTAACTGATATGCTATATGTGTGCATCCATGGTGTAATGCATCAAATCAAACAGTTTCATAAACTTTACATATTTTCTTGCATATTCAAATGATCTACCTGCAAAGGCAGCTAACAGTAAACGCGTGTGATTTTATTTCAGAACCCATGTTAACTCAACCATATTAACTGTATTGACATACATGCATATTGTATTTAATTGGAAGAGGTGTAAACCCTTTGTAGTAATCTGTGAATTACAAGTTTATTCAAAAAGGGTTCGAGTCTCTAAATTATAAGAAATAGATGACAGTATTAACATTGTAAATTGTTCCATTTATATCAACACATAACCAATTGTTGTCTTCATACCTGCAGCTGAATCAAAATCATAGCTATTTTGTAAATCTCCTGTAGGTAAGGGCTTACTAGAGTATTTACTATCCTTATTGAGACGTGATAGTGGTATTACATTACTATTATAGATGGTGTTCCATGCATTGTCATCAGAACTATCCTTTACCTTGTCCACCTCTTCAAGAAGGTTGTCAATATTAGCCCGAAGTGTATATGCATCTGGATGTTTGTCAGGTTCAGCATCACAACACTGCTCAGCAAGTTCCTTGTATTCCTCTGGTGCTGAATCAGGCATCAATGGTTGTAGTCCACCCATAATATCACATACCAAATCTCTATCAAATTGTCTATCTGTAAAAGATGGTTCACCAGTGGCAATTAAATACATAATAATATCAAAAGAATATATGTCTGATTCCGTCGTAAATTTGCGAGTATGGTAAACCTCTGGTGCAATAAAGGGTAAAACACTTTCTCGAATGACTGAATTCACTGATCACAAGAGACCAAAATCACATATGAATGAGTGATCATTGTGCAAAATTATGTTTCTGCCATGAAGATTGCAATGCACTAATCCTGCAAAATGGATTCTATCCAAATGCCATGAATCCTTTTATCATTTTATTGCGCTTTTCAAGCCATTTTGCATATTGTCTAAATTGACTGACATCATTATTGTACTTGCATGTTGGAAGTGAGTATATTCTGGCAAACTGGCTCACAAGTGTTGGTGTACATTCTTCGTTAATTCCAAGTAATATGTTATCTCCGTCGTTATTTGCTTGTGAATAGCGTAATAAATGTTGTCAATTTGAGTTGGCTTTATATCGGTAATTTCCGAGCAAGAAATCCATTCAAGTTTATCATACTTATTTACCGTTAGTTAACCACTGCATATTTACTCTCATTGAACCGTCATGTGTTTTTCATGACTATTCTTCGAATCGTATACTGCATTAGCACCCACAGTTCTAAAGTTCTACGTCGATCGTTCATTCAAAGCGTCCGGTTCTTGTATGTAAGTTGTAAATTATTTACAAGGAAAAGATTATTTTTAATTCCGGAAACATAAAATAAGCACTCTTCGTAGGACAGCGCAACAAGTCTCTATAATAAATGATTTATGTTAGAGGCATCAGTAAGTAATGACAGAACGATGAATTACTTTTAAGCTCGATAGTTCCTTCTAGGAGACGTTAGATGGCCTCTTTGTTGATACTAAATGATCTAATATTCAAAATCTGATCTTCAGAAGGTTAAACTGTTGCCTCAAGAATATCAAAGTGCTATCATAGTCCATCAGTATGTACTGTATGCTCATAAAATGGTAAAAGTGACGCTTAGCCAATAAACATACCTCATCATTACCGTAGACACTTACCACGTGAATGTATTATCGATCCGCTTTGTAGTTGAGAGCAACTTTATGACGTCAAGTGTAACATTTTTAATGTCCCAACTCTGGTCATGAAATTAAGACTGGAGTGACTGGAATTACTCTAGATTAGATCCTTATATGTAACGAACCAATCAAAATTTTCGAACAAATCTGGACCAATGGAATTGCAGAATCGTCGGAGAAATTTGGGTGCGAGTTTGAACTTACTTATTTAAGTGCGGCGAGTTTGGGACCTGTCTCAGTTCGGAACCCCGTAACTCAGTTGTCTCGATCCATAGAAAAGAAAAGTTATTTACGTACTGTATATAAATAATGTACAGTATGTATTGCTTGCACACTTGAAATGCGTTAAATTTAACAGTCTCTCTTTTTTTGTTAAGGGCTAAGCGCGACATTATCCTAATTATTTTCTATTTCGACTCTAATTTGGTAAAAATAACAGCTTCTCTAAATTGAACGGAAATGTCTATAGTAATATCTAAGCGGGAATGTCATAGTTTTAAATCGGGAATAGCTCGATAGTTATTCTCTCAGCTCTGTATTGGCTTTCCTAAAAGCAGGCCAGACATTCTATCTGGACAGTCAACATATTGTGCCAACTCAAACACAACACGCAAGGGATGCTTATTATTTGTTTCAAGACCTTCACTAATAATAAACCGTAACATGCTTAAGATTACACAGTCTGTCAAAGACGTTTGGATTATAACTGATCGAGCCGATCTCGACAAAACCATTTGAAGATGAATATTTAATTTATTTATTGTAGCACCCTAAATTCAAGAAAACGAATTTGTCCGCTCATAAGAATAAGAATAATAATAAAATGTTGTACCTCAGTTTGGGACCCGTCTCAGTTCTGGACCGAGACAGGTCTCAAACTGAGATGACTCGGTCCAGAACTGAGATGACTCGGTCCAGAACTGAGATGACTCGGTTTAGAACTGAGACACGTCTTGGTCCAGAACTGAGACATGTCTTGGTCCAGAACTGAGACAACTCAGTCCAGAACTGAGACAACTCAGTCCAGAACTGAGACGGGTCCCAAACTGAGGTACAACAATTAATATGGTTCGGTGCAAAAATATCCGTACCTCGATTTAAAAGATTTTTATTTGCGTAATACTAAAACGACCATTTTAACATGGTAAAAAGATTACATATAGACTTTTTTCTTTTCGCAAGATTCATCGATTCCTCATGTTTAGTTCTCGTGTAAACTGAACGCCCGCACCACTAACAGCGAACAAAAATGGATGGTATTGAACTGCTACAGATGCTTTTCTGGGGCTACATCCATAGATAAGCAAAATGAAAACATAACATTACGCAAACGAGTTGGTCTGGTTTGGGGAGTACGGTTGGGGGTGTGTTGTCTGATTGGAATCAGTGCATTTACACCACATCAAAATCTTGGATGACCTAAATCTCAACCAAGCGAAGACATCACATCACATCACTTTTGCGAACTCACATTATGAACAGCAACAAGACAGGACAACAACTTTCTTACGACAATTTCCTTCCGAATATAGGTACATACTTTCCAAGTGGCAACTTCCCCGAATACTACAGTGTTGAGATAGCAAAATAAAATGGTCAAGTTTTTTTTACGCTTCAGCCGATTGAGGGTGTTTGGGCAATAGTAAAAGGTGAGGTAGGCCCACATTTAAATCTCTTAGACGCTAGAAATAAGCTTTTAAAAACTTTTAAAGAAACAATAACATCAAAGTAATAGTAGGATTATGGAAGAGCGTTCACAAGAGCGAAAGAATATAAAGAATCAGATTTTATTGGATGAAGAAACAGATGATGATGATAATCTTGACAATAATGATGAATTTTAATAAAATTTTTATAGTATGACAAAATCCAAATACCTATTGGTTTTTGTTTTTTTTTAAAAAAATTAATATGTAAAAACTGTTTATTAAGATTATTGTGAGGTGTGGATATTTTTGCAGCGAAACATAATAATAATAAAGACTTTATCCGATAACACTATTTTCCATTACCGATGCGTGTTGTGGACATACTAATAAAACGGTTTAACAAGCTACTGGTATACTATTATTACTCGATAGTTGTCCATATTCTAGCTGTGTGCTAATATTAATTGCGTCCCATCCAACAATTTATTTAATGGTGACGGAGCGTAAGAGTGATTTTTGTTCAGAAAACCCGTTGTGGCAAAGAGGGAGATTTTTCGTGGAGTCTGTGCTGACAGTGCTCTGCGTGCATTTGGTAAAAAGCCCACAATCCAATTATCGGGACATATTTATCATGGTAGAGAAAGCTTGGATACTGGTGGCATCGGAGGAATAGGAGGCAGATGGTGGAAGGATGAAAGTTCAGCGGTATGTTGTTCTTATCTGATACATGTGTTTACGTTGGGTTATAATGCCTTGTTGACAGTAAACTAACCACACTGATTCTTTAATGCCTCCAAAGTATTGATAAAAATCCCTCGAGACTTGTCAGTCTCCAATGTTTCCAACGTTATTACGCGTCAGCAGCAGTAGGAGAAAACATAAAGTAACCAAGTATCATTCGAAGCTTCAGATCCTGTTTCTTCACAGCTCCCCTCCAATAAATAGTTGTAGGAACATCAAAATCCACTCTACAAGGACCGTAATGCTATCAGAGATATGACAAATACTGCATGCTTGCTGCACAGTCTTTTCTTCTTCCTAATTCAGACAACGGAGTGTCCTCTATCAATGTTGGATCATTCCAGGCGTGCCTTATTAGCGACTTTTGGGTTAGGAAACGGATGGGAATAATTTTCCCCAATGTCTTGTAAGAAATTCATAAGCAAAGTTTTCGGCTTGCGATATGTTTGACAGGATCAAAAACTTTGCAATTGTATGGACGTACTGCATTTAACTACACCGTTTGATTTATCGTCCCGTCCCTCCAAGTGTTGTTGCGGAAAACGGAACAGTGGCAATAGGTATTATCGGTTCGGTCAGTGAAAAATGGGCAAGTCTTTTATCAGATTGAAATTTGTCCAGGCTTGAAAATTATATTGAACGTCGCTCTCAATTTGTCGGTTGGGAGTGCTAGGTGATTGGTATTAAACAATAATTGTATTTTATTCCAAAGATATGCTCGAGGCGTGTTAGTCTCATCATCAGCAACATCGTTTTGTCAATCGCTCAGACATGAACACACGTCTTTGTCCAAGTCCAAACGCACGCCATCCTCAACTTTTGTACTCCTCATCGTCTGTTAGATTAACGCGCAATCGACTAGATTGCCCGCCTTTGCCGGTTCCATCTGCCAACGAGCCATGTATGAGCGTGATGGTGCAGCATTCTCTGCCTGCTCAACAACTTGTGGAATATTAAGTCTGGGAAAACTATAATGCATTAATAGGACATCTGATTGAACCGATTGAAGACCATCGATAACAAAACGTGCGATTGCAACTCGGTCCTTGGACGTTTTTCTCGTCAGTATGTTGAGCGCCTTAATGTTCTCATTTTCGTCTTGGTAATCCAAATAGTCGAACGGTTGCATGCAGTTGTGGTCCTTGTACGTTTCGAGATTTAATCGCTTCGACACCATTTTCTCTTCTTTAATCTTGTAACAACTGTTTACCAAGACAACTTTTGCAGTAGGTATCTTTGCATTTACTTCTCTCATATCCTGGTTCCACAACAGAAATTGGCTTTGTGTAATGACCGTGGTGTCTGGAAAGTTTTCAGTCTCGTCCATGGAGTAATAAAAATCGAATGAAAAGGATTTGCATGCACCTAATCGTGCATCCTCGACATTAGGTAAGACTAATACTCGATTGGTTTTTTGTGCCATCAGTAGTAAACGTTTTATGTGCTGTTGTGTTCTAGATTCTTGTTCCTCTACGAAAACCGGAAATAAAAACCGACATGTGGGAGAACCGCAATAATTTATATTTATCTGCTCTTCTACATCTTCAATAAACATTTCTTGAACAGGCTCGTCAAAATAATAGTCGTTTGACGACGTCTGCAATTAAAAAGAAGGGAAAGAAGATTATTAGAGATAAAATATATCTGAACTGTTGACGAAGAGGTTAGATTATTATTAAAAGTATTATAATTCAGTGAATAGTTAATAACAATACTAATACTAATGATATGATCTTCAAGTTACACAATAACTTTACGCCATCATTGAACGCTACTAAATCGGACCATTTTATGTTAGTGTTACTTAAACATTGTCCTGTAATAACTCGTGCTGATTTATGGGGGGGACTACTAAAGACCTTACCCGATGTTGGGAAGACCTTTTGAATACTACCTCTTCATAATAATCAATAATACTTACATCTTCTTCATCAGTGACATTTACATCTTTCTCGTTTGGCGTTGCCTCTTCAAGCGCGTCGACTATATTACAGAATGCGAGGCACATAATCACCACGAGTATCACCCATTTGTAACGTATCAGAGCCAAGTTGTTGATAGCGACTTTCTTTGCGTTTTTCATGATGGGTGCTTGGCAAGTATAAACAAAAGGGTTGAGGGTTTTTGTGGGGATCGAATGTATTTATAATATAGTTACAGAGATCTAATTGTTTTCCCTATATAACATATGTTGTATTACAATATCTTTGCATAATCTTGCGTTACTAATACAAGTGTCTCTATCATGACGAACTGTATAATTGAATCAGGAAGCAATTCTAAATGCGTGTTCATTTTTTACTTACATAAAGAAGAAAAAGAACCCTATTTTTGATAGTCTGTTCTTACTTGTGCATATTGTTTATTGATTCGATTCTAATTAAGTATTGATTCGCCGATCGATAATCAATTCTCGCAAGCAAATTCTTTGGCGCATTAGGTTGACCTCATTTCTTGGTTTACGATGCCGACTCCACGATACGATAGAGCATTAATTAAAGTATAAAGTTTGAAACTTGAAAGAAATGGGGTTTAATCAAATAATTAATTGTCTTGTATCCAAATATTTGCTTTCTATACTTTTGTTGGGTTCCCGCTATCAAGTATTTCTATAACTTGACGCTTACGAAACGAAAAGGAATTGGTTGACAGAAACTTCTGTGGCTGAGTATGAATCTGCAGCCTTGTTACACAATAGCTATAAAACGTTATGCCGCCGAGCATGCATGCCCCATTCTTGAATGAGCCGTTAAACAATCCAAAATCTTTTCCTATTTATTCAAATTACAATTTGGGGGTATCTCCTCTCTTGTGTCGACGGAAGGAAAAAAAAGATACGGCAATGTTTGTTTAGAGATTAAAGTGGACACATTATGCTTGTTTGTCATACAAATAATATTCCGAAAATGACGGCAAGGCTTAAAAAGGTTGCGCAAGACCCATGATTATAGTAGTCCCTATTAAAAAAAAGTGATTGAGCCTCACACAATCGTTTTTATTGGATCTTTCGTTTTGATTACACTATAACGCTTGCATATGTTCGTCTGCAAAGTGTCTTGTACATTGTCAGATGAAACACTGCTTGCCTTTTTGCATGATGTAAGTTGAATCGTCGGATTGGAAAGTAGAATAACGAATGTTCATTAACATAAGTGAAGTGATACAAGCTCTACCTGATGTTATTTGAGGGAATTTTTAATATGACTATATCGGGCAATGCGAATGAGAACTGTTTGGGACACAGGGATTTACGGTTGCAGTTTGAAACGTCGTTCATGTAATTGTGGTTGTAGCAATTAAATTCTGGACACAAAATGACCTATATATTTTATTCGAAAGTGGCCATTATTACGTGCGTCAGCAATTATGCTTACAGCTGTAATAGACGTTATTGTAGCCATAGGATGGGATGTTTGTAAGTAGACATCCATAAATTATAAATTTGTCTCTTACATTTTAGCACTATCAGGTGTAACAACTAAAGTTGAATACGGACAAAACGTAAATGCAGACCAGTCGAATTATGGCGTAACAAAAAAAAAGCTCCCGATTACTGAATTGAGATATCAATATTGTTGTGTCGCGTCGTCATGACGTTGTTTCAAGTATCCGACTCTATTAAATATCATTACGATTCTCTATTATATATGTGTGTGTATGCTTACTGGATTATTTTGTGGCCAATCCTTTGCACACATGATAGACATGTACACTGCATATTATTGTGCCTCTCTGCAAAGTTCTATGAATCTTCTTTATATGCAAGACAAGTGAAAGAACTAATAGTTTTGTGTATTATCCATGGCATGCAATGCAGTAATCAGCCCTTAGAAACATCAAGCTAATCGAATTTGGAAATTGAAACACAATGACGGATCGTCTCCCTCTTCAATGGCTCGATTGGTTTTAAGTGATATCACGAAATAATTTTGTCCTGATTGGCGAATATGTCTCATTATCGATGAGCGCACGGTTAATGTAATCGACAGACGTTTATGACAAAAAAAGTTTACAACTTTACAGAGGCTGTATATGCTAATAGAATCAGGGTTTCTTGATTATTAGTTATACTAATCCATTTAAAAGCACTGTATTTCATAATTGATAATGTTCGCCAATTACTATAATGTTTGTGGCAATTACGCCTCCAAGATCAAACAAAAACGTCTTATTATTTACACACATCAACTTTTTTTCAAAATAAGTCCTTGGACACACTTGGGCAAAAATATAGACGAATACTGTGTATCCACACAATGGACAGAATTTTCCCGGCTAAACCAACATACAAGAAGCATCCGCGTTAAACGATGAGTGCACGCATACAGCAGATTGGACAGAGCCTACAACTAAAGCAAGCAGAGTGGTAAAAGTGATTATCAAAAAAATAGTTACTGCACAAGATTTGATTTCTGTCAGGTAATTTATTCTTGTACGTATTGAGTTTGACGTTGACGTTATTAAAATTTATTAATCGTTTTCCGTACAATATAACTACAACATGATACTACTTTACGAAGTATAGATTATCGGTCATATAGTCACGACTATTATTTGGTATTCAATCAAGGTTTACGTTCAGTTTTAGACAGACTCATACAAATGATGAAAGATTCGCTTGGAAGAAGTCTATTCAATATGAACATTTCGACGAACTTAAGAGATCGATTCTGGCGGTTGTGGAGAGGTCTACATTGGTCAAATATAAAAAAGCCAGAACTACGTGTATTTGTATCAGAGGTAGGCACTTCACATGTCGTATTATTGATTAACTGCTGACTAATCCAAATACTAGTTTGTTTTTTATCAAATGTTTGTAATCATGCCATAACTTTGTTTGACAGATTCCTTCACATACATGGAGTCACACAACAAGCCGGGGACAAAATATGATCGTGATGCAATATACGGATAATGGTATTTGGATCAAATATCAACGAGTTAACGTGTGATGAGAAAAGCAGAATGTCTGAAGCATATTTATATATTATTCACATTGACAGGTTTTAGGTTAATACATTGTGACGGAAATATAATTCTAGATAGTAAGCTGAAATCTATTTGTGAACTATTCGTTTGTGACCTTGGACTTTCTAAATCGGTAAACTCGTCCGAAGTCGGGTTGCTCGACCGTTCAAGGCGTTTTACCATACATTGCACCATCGCATACAATCTATGCGTTTGGTATTCTGATGTATCAGATCGCTAGTGGAGAGCCGCCTTTAGGGATAGGCCTTTTGATACGTCTTCATACGGGGAGGCATTTATTTCATCGACAATCATTTCACCGACAGTACACTTCACCGACAGTCATTTCACGTGATACATTGTTTATCATTGGTTTTCGATGAAATTTATGTCGGTAAAACGTACTGTCGATGAAATGAACCGGACCCCTTCATACGTGATATTCTTGGCCAGTAAGGCCTGATTCAACACCAAGCCTTATCTGAAAATGTGTTGTTTGTCGATCCTGACCAGATGCTAATGAACTCGAGCGACATTATCTCGGAAGCAAAATGGGATGAATCTGGTAACATTGTGTGGAATGAAATTGGCCCAAACCAATAAGTTGTCTTAATGTCGATTCATTTGCAGGTAATACAATGTTTGAATTATCTAAAAGTCATTCATAAATGTGAGACATTTAAACAGTGGCCATGTATTCGCACATCATATAAGGTGTTGTGTCGTATAATTGATATTTATGATATTATCGTATATGAAATTTTTGTTATACAGTATGTTTCTGTCAATCAATCATCCAGTCGCAAGTAACGCGCTTTGCAATATCCATAGTTTTTAGTTTATTTGCGTGTGTGAAAGTGTCATGCGTATTATGGGAGCTCGTACCGTAACTACCCAGTCAGACGGATAGGAAAAAATATCGGGAGACTGGTTTAGATGATTCCGCATAAAATATCTGTAACTTTAATTTTGCAAATATATTTTAATTGTAACGGTAATAAAATTGGGTTCGGATATGAATGAGTCACTACTGTTGAGAGATCAGTTCTCAGTATGTGCTCTATACTATTGAGATTTAATACTAATTATACCGTAGAGCATTGAATATAGTACGCCAGGTACATATATAGAACACTTCAAGTTCTTGAATTGTACCCGGGGGGGATGTATCCGGGGTACTATGTGCGGAGGAGGGTACTATTTGAGGGGTACTTTGAAATTTCTTCAGAGTGATGCGATTGGTCAATTTACCATAATAAGCTCATCAGAATTTATCTCTACTTCTTAGCTAACGCGATGGCACCTCGCGAAAACAAGTGTGCGAAAAAAGTTATTTTATATAACCGAGAAAAAGCGCCGAAGTTGGAATGCCTAAGAAAAACTTGCAATTATTTGTATCAAGAGAAGGTATGTAGATACGTCACCTGATCAAACCGAGAAGTTGAAGATTAAACTTTAAGATTTCCAGAAAAATGTTACGCTTGTTAATAACCATTAATAAACGAGTCAGCGATAATCGTTATGATGAGAATTATGCACAATTGGTTCCTACATAGTTGGTTTGCATTGTGGTTGGATTTCTCTTTCGATCGCTGCTAGAATTTGGTTAATTATTAAATCTTTAGCTGTTGCCAGACAGTCAACTTTTAGTTTATTGTATAGATTTATTATGCTTTCATACATTGATGAGTACATCGATGAGTAGTCGGAGAGAAGGAGCACACACCTACTTTGCTAAATCTCGTTGGTATGCGTTGTTGATAAGCGTAGGTGGAGCATGAAATCAATCAATCAAAGTAACCATTTTACATATGGCACTAGAATATTGTTGATGAGAAGGATAGTCGATATTATTTATCTTGTTAAAGAAGTTTGAAAACTTAGTAGCTTTATTTATCCATGTTGTGTCTGAGTTTGGGACCTGTCTCAGTTCGGAACCCAGTCACTCAGTCCAGGACTCAGTTGTCTCAGTCCAGAGCCCAGACACTCAGTCCAGAACCCAGTCGTCTCAGTCCAGAACTGAGACAGTTCCCCAACTGAGGTACAACATCCATACATAGTAATAGAAAGTTTTTCGAATTTAATTATTACAAATACTTAATTTAATCTTATCTA